AATCATTAATTCTTATCCTAAAATACTGCATCCGAAGCCTATAAATACAAGCCTAGGGCCCCTATACACGGGTGATCTGAAACTGTCAAATTGGAGAGTTAATCTATCAATTTAAGAGGGGCTAGCAAGTTCTTGGAGAGTTCTTCTACATAAAGAAGAAGAGTTCGAGAGATCTGAAGCCCGCTTCTGTCGTTCCTTGAGATCAGAATTCATACTGATCTTGAGAAATATAGTAATATCACTTTATTGAGATTATTTACTTATGTACTTGTTTCCTTTGTGAAACAAGACCAGCCTTTGTTGCAATCAACCAGATCTAATTCGTGGCGATCCACGGATAAAACATCCCCGACACAGGCAAAGATCATATGCAAACAGTGGGTGATAAACGTCTTCTACGTGTATTTCTAGAGAGTTGTATTTTACTTATTTTTATTGTGTAAGAAAGTCTTATAAAAAGACTAATTTTACTTTGAATCTGTAATCGATAAACGTGTAATGGATTCAGTAATGAAAACAACTTTCAACGTAAACATGCGATATCCCTACGCATGCCGCTCCACTAAAATGTCTCTTCATATCCTTGTACATTTTGGTTGTGCCTGGATGCACTGTGTACCTGGTGCGATGTGCCTCATGAAATAGATCCTTATTTAGCTATGTATTATCTAGCACTACTAACTAGCCTTTCAATCGAAGGCCCCCATCTGATCCGATGGTTCAATCTGCCTTGCGCTTTTTAAAAATCTCCCCTTTTCGGGTTTGAATCTAAGAATTCTCTACCTGAGCACTGACCACTCTATCTGTCTATGATGGTTGTATGGCTAAAGCTTCCCAAAATACACCGCTCCTGCCAATCTTTGGCTTAAAGTAAAACTGACTAAGGGTGAGAAGGTCTCGATGAAATGAGCACCTCAAAGTTGCAAGCCCGTGACGACACTTCCTACAACGCGTTGGCTATAACGTTCGCCTTCCCCGGATGGTATTGAAATGCAAACTCGTAATCTTTAATGAACTCGACCCATTGTAGCTGCCTCTAGATGAATTCCTTTTGAGAGAAGAGGTACTTCAGACTATGATGGTTTGTAAACAGTTCATACTAAACTCCATAAAGATAATGCCTCCATGTATTAAGTGCAAAAGTGACTGCTCCTAACGCCAAGTCGTGAGTAGGATAATTCTGCTCATGAATCCTCAACTACTGTGAAATGTATGCAACCACTCTCTGAGTCTGTATCAAAATGTCTCCTAATCCCGACAAAGATGCATATGTGTAAACAACAAAAGTCTTGTCACTGCTCGGGATGATCAAAACGGTGATGTAGTCAACTTGGTCTTCAGAGTCTCAAAGGCCTTCTAGCATTTCGGTCCCTAAAAAACTGAACACCCTTTATCGTAAGGCAAGTCAACGTGGTAGCAATCTTCAAAAAGTCCTGGATAAACTTCCTGTAATAGCCGGCCAGACCCAAAAAGCTACGAATCTCTGTAATGATCTTCGGTGGCTCCTAATCAAGAAGTGCTTCCACCTTGGCTAGGTCAACTGTAATGCCTTCCTTGCTAATGATATGGCCCAAAAATCTAACCTTTGAAAGCCAAAACTCATACTTGCTGAACTTAGCAAACAACTGGTGCTCCCGTAAAGTCTGTAATGCTTATCGAAGATACTGTTCATGCTTGGCCTCTGATCTCGAATAAATGAGGATGTCATCGACGAAAATGATCACGAACTGGTCTAAGTAACCCATCAAATCCATGAATATTGTGGGTGTATTGTTTAGCCCAAATGGCATGACAAGGAACTAAAAAGACCTATATTAAGTCAGAAAGGTGGTCTTGGGAATATCCATCTCCCGAACCCGTAACTGGTGATAGCCAGATCAAAGATCAATCTTCGAGAAATACTATGCTTCCTGCAACTGGTTGAATAAGTCATCAACTCTTGGTAGTGGATACCTATTTTGGATGGTGACCTTATTCAATTCATGATAATCGATACATAATCAAAGGCTGTCATCCTTCTTCTTCACAAAAAGGACCGGTGCTCCGCACGAAGAATGACTCCAATGAATAAAACCCTGAGATATAAGATCATCTAACTGAGTCTGTAGCTCCCTCATCTCAGTAGGTGCCATATGATAAGGTGCACAGGAGATCGGTGCTGTGTCCGGCTACAACTTAATACAGAACTCAACCTCTTTCACTGGAGGTAATCTAGATATATCCTGAAAGACATCCTGATACTTTGAGATGAATCTGGTCTTTTTCAAATTTTCACCCTAATCTCGAAACAACACCTCCTCGATGTATGCCAGAAATGACTCCGCAAACTGGTTTCCCTGTGAGGTCGGTACAACTAACTCGGTCCCATCTGACGCTCACAAGCTGACTGTTTTTGCAAAATAGTCAATAATGACATGGTAGGATGATAATCAATCCATACAAAGAATAACATCAAACTTGTACATACGCAATACGATAAAATTGATAACGAACTCAGACTCGTCTAAGCTGATAATGCATCTCCTACAAATACTCTCTAAGAGGGAAAGTGTAAAACCCCAGAAAATTTGTGTTAACGAATGATAAATTGAATTAATATGTAATTAATTATTATAAGTGGATATTTATTAAGATAAATATCATTAAATAGTGTTTGAGTATGTTAACAAGTATTTTGAGTATAAACAAGTTCATACATGAGAATAGAACGAGTCGAAAACATGCACAAAGGCAAAATCTTGAGGAACTGGAAATTCCTAGTTCGGTCGACCGCAGCCCTGTCGACCACCACAGTCGATCGCAGAACCTGTTTTCTGTTTCCCTGACCTGAGTTGGTTTTGGGTATTTCAGGCACATATTCGTTTTCTCTGCAATATATACACATTGTTCACAAGATTTTCAATATTCTTTCATATTTTTGAAACTCTAGCAGCCACCAAAATTTTCTACAAACCCTAAATTGATTTTTGAGAAAGATTAAAGGCTTTAAGGTGGGATTTTTGGTTTGCAACTTGGAGATCTGCTTGGGAACTTCATCTTACACGTTTTAAAATAAGTCTTAGGTGAGTTTTATCTCTGCTAATCCCTCTCCCATGTTTTAAAAAGTTTTTAAAGAGATTTAAATGTGTTCTATAGAGCCAAATTGACTAGTTTGTGAATAAAATTCAATCTTTTGTTATATGTGTAAAGACTAGGCCTTTTCATGTTAAGAATGAAATTACAGAAGTATTCTAAGATCTGAAGAGTATAAATAACGTGGTTTAACTAAGAATTTGTGATTTTATCTTCACTTTGACGTTTTGTGCATGTTTAAGAGTTTAATCATGACCTTTTATGAAATTAATCGTGTTCTATATGTTTGATATTTTTTCCAGAGATATAAATCTGCTGTATACAATGTTCTACATTTGTTTCAGGACAAATTAAACTACTTTAAATAGCAAACAAATAAAAAAACACAGATTGCGCAAACCTGCAGAGAACAGGATCTGTTCATGTGCCGGTCGACCGCCGCCTAATCTGCAATCGACCGCATGCCAGACAGAAGTCTGGGCAGTTGTTGAAATTGCGTCCGGTTGACCACGCCTAAGCGACGGTCGACCGCGTGTCAAGCAGAGGCTAGGGTAGCCTCTGAAATGTGATACATTCGATCTCCGCTATATTGCGGTCAACCGCCAGGCTGATATATGCCAGTGCATGTTTTCCCTCATGATTTCTAATTTCTGGAAATTTTCTCAACCTTATTATGTTGTATAACGATCTTTATGAGTTATTTAAGACCTGAAGTGTTGGTGAACACCATATTTTGATACGCACACCAAGATATGTGCATGTACACATAGTTTATATTGAATTGACATGCATTGTCAAGGTATTTGACAAACGTGGAGTTGATGAAAATAAAATAACATATGATAAATTATTGCTCATCAGTTATGGATACTTAGTGTGGTTGTTTATCCCATAATGAGACATCAGTTGTACCACACTAGTATTTGGTTGTTTTCCCGTAATGAGACCTCAATTGTACCAAATACTAGAAGATGATTGGTGTGTTTTTTTGATTTGGGCTGATATGCCTATTCATAGTTGTACGATCTTCTAAAAGCATATCCGAAATAGGGAGATATAACCTATTACCGCAGAACGATTGAGTAATGGTGATGAATTCACATGTGAATGTGAGTACCTTACAAGAGTATCGTTATGAGATGAGACTTATATGCAGTTACAGTTTGTACCCTTATAGTTTATCCATGAGTAGGTTGCACAATTGATACATGATGCACATGATATAGTTCATGATGATATTTGAGCAGGTTGACATTTTCTTATGTTTATGCCAACTACCTGAGGGTAGATTGAGATGTGACCTTGATTTCTTACAGTTGAGGTTTGGAGTATCTACTTTTACATTTTGATTTCATTCATAGGATTGGAATTAGTATTTAGATGTTCACTCAAATCCGCAAGTGCACGGATATCGCTGTAGCGATGCAAGGTCGTATCCTCAGGGACTTCGTTGTTAATTACTAATTTTCACTGTTTTGTGACTATCTAAACCAATCGTGTTAAAAAGTATGATTTTTATGACTATCAATAAAGAACACACTAGCTAGTATCAACGACGAATTCACTCAAATAAAAGGATCTAGGATTGAGAACGACTAACCTATGATAACTATTAGTCTCTTTCGACGACTAAAAGTCGTGCCTAATTCAGCCTAACAACTTATTTTCATAGTGTTAAACCAAATTAAACCTATTAAGTTCTTGTTAATCCCTCATGTTCTCAAGACTATTTAACCTACTTTCGTGATCAATTAATTCTTGTTCAATTATTATTTTCCGGCGTCAATCTAACCTTTCAGTTCAAATCAACATCCTAAAAGAATTAAATCAGTGGCCAATTGAATTAACCCTAGGCAATTAGATACTAGTAACCGAATAATGCAAATCGAACAATCAATAACAACAACAATCAGTTCATTGATTCATAACCATGGCCGAACCTAGTTCAATCCCAGATAAGACAATTACTCACACATAATTGAAATAGAAAACATGATAACAATATATAAGATCATAATCATAAACTAGAAATTGAGATAGATCAAAAAGATAAACCGTAGTGTTGAAGTTGCACACAATTCTCCACAAACAGCAGATTCCAAATCAAAAGAAAACCTAATCTAAGAGTTTTTAGAGAGAAGAAGAGAAGAAGAAGAAGGAAAAATCAAGATCTCTAGCCTCTGGTCTCTTTTCAGATGCTTCAGGGTGTCTCCCTTTTAATTTCGGGAAAAACGTGTTGAAAAATAACTACAAATATTGCTCCAGATCGCATGATAACTGACTGCTGTTATCCAGCACGGCTGTGCAAATCGACACGACCAGGCCGTGTTTAATTCCGTTTCGCTCTGCTTTCTGGGCTTTTCTTCTGTAATCAACACGCCTGTGTTGTTGAACACTGGGTGACTGTGTAGTCTCTTTTCATGCATTCCTTGACTCCTTCTTGACTCCGAATCCACGCTAAACTCCAGTAATTCCTACACAATATATAAATAGAGCAGTAAACAAGAACTAGGGAGCTTAACAGGGCAAAAGTGCAAGGACATACATCAAATAACAATGAATCCGTAGGTAAAACATAGTCAAAATATAGATAATATTCATGTTTATCAACTCCCCCATGCTTGAACTATTGCTTGTCCTCAAGCAAAACAGATGGAAACACACACATGAGAGGGTACAGATTCAAAGAAAATAGAAATTAAACACAAATGTATCCACTATTCTCAAGTTCACATGCAATATTATTCCACTCAACCCAATGTCAAAATAGAAATATTGTCTTAAGTTCAAAGTTGAAGAAAATGTATCTGTAGGCGTTCACGTACAGTAGTGCAAGTGACTCAACTCATAAACGTTGGAAAAAGATATGGCATGACAAAGTTAAAAATTTTTAGTTGATTGCCCAAAACTCCTCGTGACAAACACATATCTCATCACAATGGGTCATACTCTTCCTGCTTAAGGTCTCAAAAGAGCACTCGGTTTCCTTGCATTTTATTTATTTATTCAATTTTCTTATTTTTTTTTAAATCCCGTCATAGTTAACACCTAATGACGTGACAGCCATACTTCTGAGGGTGCGGTGCCAGGTACTCGGTGCAACAGGCTTTAGGAATTTTTTTTTACAAGGCCGAGTGTTTCTCCAGTAACCAAAAAGTAGTCCAAGTCACCAAAGAAGCTTAGGTTTTAATTAGATGGGTTGAGCCAAAATCCATTCCTATCTCTCCAATGTTTAGAGTTAAGTATCGACAAAGTGGAACTCGAACAGATAACATCCTAACCAACTAAACATGAAACAAAGATTTTTTTTAACAATGGGGCATGTGAAATAAATGATGCACGTGTTAGAAGAGTTTTCAAACAGTGATACTCTTTTTATTTTCTTTTTTCTTTTTCTTTTAAAAGCTAAATGAAAAATCCCAACACAAAAAACAAGCACTCAAAAACACCAAAGCATACATGAAACATCATCCCAACAAACCAACTCACTCCCCTATGCTTGAATTGCACATTCTCCCCAATGTGCTTGAGTAATTGAAAGGAGGATAAGAAGGACTCACCGCTCATTGAGGAGGTGGTGGAGGTGGATAACCATGAATTAGGGACCATTGGTGCATATGTTACGTCACCGCTCATTGAGGAGGTGGTGGAGGTGGATAACCATGAATTAGGGACCATTGGTGCATATGTTACGTCTGGTCATTCATTGTTCCAAGTGTATTGCGAAAATTGTCCAAGCGGGTGTCCATGATGAGAACAGATCCGGAAGTTTCAGATGTTGAATGAAAGAATTTGGTCAATGAATATTGGCGTTGCTCTGGGCCTAACGACAAGGACGGTGTCTTAGCACTGGAGGCACGCCTATCGGTTTGGTGGTGTTGGATGTGATGAATGAGAGAGAGGCGGCAGTGTTGAGTGGAGGAATCAACGTTGGGGAGGGAAGTGGTTTTGGGGAAGTTGTTAGTCGGCGATTTTGATGGTGAAGGATGAAAGAGGACGGTGGTATGAGGTGGTGAAGGGAAGGGAGGCGGTTGTTTGCTCAAAGAGGTGGGGTGGTCAGTCGGTGGTTGTTTGAAAAGGGGGATTTGATGGGTAAGGTCAAAGAAGATGGAAGGATGGGGAGTCTAGAACGAAAAAGAAGGGGGGTGGTAGACTCTGGAAATTTTTTATTCTTTGGCCACGGGTGTGGTGGATGCCTTCCCATGGTATGGTAGACTCTGGAAATGAGATGAAGACTGTCCCGACTGCTACACGAGTGTGTTGGTGGACACGGCCTAGCCGTGTCAACTGTGTATTCAATATTTTTCCTTCTGTCCTCTTTAGCCTTGAACTCTCTGTTACCTATTTCCTTTTTTCATTCACCTACACACCAGTTCACATGTCATGAAGCTAATAAAACTAATAATTAAAACACTAAAAGGAAAAATAAAGTAAAAGAAAAACTTGGGTTGCCTCCCAAGAAGCGCTCGTTTATGGTCATGAGCTCGACCCCTTCAATGCTCACAATGATGATGGATCGGGAAGGGTAAAAGTACCCAACTTCTCGATCGGAGTTCCTGTGAAATAATACTTTAATCGCTGTCCATTGACCTTGAAAGATCCCGTGGCTTCACTCCATACTTCGACAACCCCAAATGTGTATATCTTGTGCACTTGGAATGGTCCAAACCACCTCGAACAAAGTTTGCCCGGAAAAAGCTTGAGTCGGGAATTAAGTAGAAGTATCAAGTCTCCTTCTGTAAACTCTTTACGGAGGATATGTTGATCATGCCACTTCATTATTCTTTCTTTGTAAATCTTGGCATTACTCTTTACGGAGGATATGTTGATCATGCCACTTCATTATTCTTTCTTTGTAAATCTTGGCATTCTCATATGCACCCAATCTCAATTCATCAAGTTCATTTGGTTGAAGCTTGCTCTCTTCCCCTGCTTCTTTCAAATCTAAATGAATGCTCTTGATAGCCCAATGTGCCTTATGTTCCACTTTAACTGGTGGAGATGGACTGGTTCTAGACTTCTTCTGCTGCTTTTTGACATGACTGTGTCTACGGACACACCATGGCCGTGTGGAATCATTATTCAGCATCTTCCAAGTTGCAATTTTCTCTTCACAAACCTAATCTGGGCTGTTTCTGCTACTTTTTGACATAGCTTTGTTTATATACACAACCTGGTCATTCAGCCCCCTTGTAATTTTGACCACTATATCAGGTTCCTTGCTGTAGGTGGTTTTGGTGTAGTTGGGGCTTTCATCAAGTATTGTAATATAGGAAGTTATTTCCTGATCATCATCATCTGGTACCCCATTCTTTACTAAACATTTCTCAAGTGGATCACTTGAGATATTTCTGATAAAATCTTCTCTAACCACCATGTCAATCGTGTCAATCCTGCAACAAGTATCATCAATTAGTGGAAACTTCATAGTAGAAAACAAATCAAAATTCACCTTTTCATCCCCTATATTGAGAGAGAGCTTTCCATTCTTCACATCAATTATCACACCAGCGGTAGCAAGGAAAGATCTTCCCAATATAATAGGGATTTGAGAATCCTCCTCAATTTCAAGAATAACAAAATCAACCCGGATGTAGAATTTACCAACCTGGATAGGTACATCCTCTAATATACCTACCGGACGTTTAACCGATCGATCCGCTAATTAGAGGGAGATAGTAGTGGGCTTAAAGTCTCCCATCTGCAACTTGTTACATATAGACAATGGCATAAGACGGACAGTAGCACAGAGATCACATAGAGCATGATTAATTGACATATCACCAATTGTGCAAGGGATTGAAAATGAGCCAGGATCTTTAAGCTTAGGTGGTAGCTTATTTTGTATGATGTCACTACACTCCTTGGTCAAGGCTACAGTCTCATATTCCTCTAATCGCCTCTTATTTGATAGAATCTCCTTTAAGAATTTGGCATAGGAGGGCATTTGGGAGATGGCTTCAACAAATAGGATATTAATATGCAATTTTTTAAGATTTCTATGAATTTCCCAAACTGTTTTTCCAACTTAGCTTTAACTTGCCTTTGAGGGAAGGGTAGTGGAGGCTTATAAGGTGCAGGTGCAACATATCTCTCAACTTTCTCACTACTGTGCTCTTTCTCACTTGACACTAACTTCTCACTCTCATCAACCACATCTGTATGGTCATTCCTCATCATTGGTCCCTCTAACTCTTTTCCACTCCTAAGTGTGATGGCATTGATAGATCCCTTTGGGTTAGTTTCAGGTTGCCCAGGAAACATACCCAAAGACCTAGAAGAAGAGTTAAATTGCTGGGCTAGTTGAGTGATCTGATTCTCTAACATTTTATTATGGGTGGCTAAAGAGTCAACCTTAGAAGTTAGATTCTTGATGACATCGCTCATGATTCTATTCTGATTTCTAAATTCTTCATTTTGTTTATTCTGGAATGACACAAAATTCTCCATCAAATTCTCTAAGTTAGACTTTTGGGGACTGGGGTAAGTGAGTCTAGGGGCCTGAAAACCTGGAGGTCAAAAATTTGAGTGAGGAATCGGGTTCAGTGGTGGATTTTTATAGGATAAATTAGGATGATTTCTCCACCCCGGGTTGTATGTATTGGAAAAAGGGTCCCCTTTCTGATTAAAATTATTCATATAATTAACATGTTCAGATAATGGTGCATCAGGGGAAGGGGAGTTTCCATTCTGACATTCCACAGCAGAATGTCCAATGATACCACATATTTCACAGTTAGTAGAGTTAGATGCTACTGAATTCATGCTCATCTTGTCAAAATTTTGAAATAAAGCATCTACTCTAGAAGCAATGTGGTCTAATGCATCTACATCATACCTCCCACTCTTTTTGGGTAAAGAGCGCTCACCTGACCACTGGAAATGATTCTGTGCCATATCCTCTATGACTTGTTTTGCATCTCGTACACTTTTGTTCATCAATGAACCACCCGCTGTAGCATCCACGGTCATCCTTGTGTTGTAGAGAAGACCGTTGTAGAAAGTGTGAATTATGTGCCAATCCTCTAACCCGTGATGTGGGCACATCCTTAGAAGATCCTTGTACCTCTCCCATGCATCATACAATGACTCCCCTTCTTTTTGAGTGAAGGTGGTTATCTGATTTCTCAATTGGGCTGTTTTTCTCGGAGGGAAGTACTTAGCAAGGAACGCTTCTGAGAGTTGGTCCCATGAAGTGATAGAGCCCGGTGGAAGTGATTGCAGCCAAGCCCTTGCCTTATCTCTTAGTGAGAAGGGAAACAACCTTAGCTTGATTACATCATCCGACACTCCATTCATCTTCAAGGTGTCACAATACTCTAGAAAGATGGAGATGTGGAGGTTTGGGTCTTCGGTTGGAGTGCCTCCAAATTGGTTTTGCTGAACCATGGAGAGGAGTGAGGGCTTGAGTTCGAAATTGTTGGTAGCAACATTAGGCTTCAAGATGCTTGATTGGGAGCTATGGGTGGTTGGTGATGCAAACTCCTTCAAGGATCGGTCTTGATTACCTTGGTTTTCTTGGTCTCCCATGGTGTTTTTGCTTTTTAAATTATCCTTTGTTTCTCGTGCCTTCTTCCTAATATGACGCAAGGTCCTTTCAATCTCGGGATCACACATCCTTTGTTTCTCGTGCCTTCTTCCTAATATGACGCAAGGTCCTTTCAATCTCGGGATCACACTCGATTGGTTCTCCAAGTCGATGACGCAAGGTCCTTTCAATCTCGGGATCACACTCGATTGGTTCTCCAAGTCGTAAGGATCTGGGCATAAAAGGGTTCCTGCACTAAAAAAAGGAACAAGTCAAACGAAAAGAAAAAAAATAAAAATAAAAATAGAATAAATAAAAGAAAATGTCTAGTCTAGTCAAACAATGAAAAAGTCAATATTAACAATGCCGAAGTCCCCGGCAACGGCGCCAAAAACTTGTTCACTCAAATCCGCAAGTGCACGGATATCGCTGTAGCGATGCAAGGTCGTATCCTCAGAGACTTCGTTGTTAATTACTGATTTTCACTGTTTTATGACTATCTAAACCAATCGTGTTAAAAAGTATGATTTTTTTGACTAACAATAACGAACACGCTAGCTAGTATCAACGACGAATTCACTCAAATAAAAGGATCTTGGATTGAACTTCGATTTCAACTCTGGTTTGAATCAACAAATTAATCAATTGTTATCGAATCTCTTAATGCATTAAGAACGACAAACCTATGATAACTATTAGTCTCTTTCGATGACTAAAAGTCGTGCCTAATTCAGCCTAACAACCTATTTTCATAGTGTTAAACCAAATTAAACCCATTAAGTTCTTGTTAATCCCTCATGTTCTCAAGAATAATTAACCTACTTTCGTGATCAATTAATTCTTGTTCAATTACTATTTTTCGGAGTCAATCTAACCTTTCAGTTCAAATCAACATCCTAAAAGAATTAAATCAGTGGCCAATTGAATTAACCCTAGGCAATTAGATACTAGTAACTGAATAATACAAATCGAATAATCAATAACAACAATCAGTTCATTGATTCATAACCATGGCCGAACCTAGTTTAATTCCAGATAAGACAATTACTCACACATAATTGAAATAGAAAACATGATAACAATATATAAGATTATAATCATAAACTAAAAATTGAGATAGATCAGAAAGATAAACCGTAGTGTTGAAGTTGCACACAATTCTCCACAAACGGCAGATTCCAAATCAAAAGAAAACCTAAACTACGAGTTTTTAGAGAGAAGAACAGAAGAAGAAGAAGGAAAAATCAAGATCTCCAGCCTCTGGTCTCTTTTCAGATGCTTCAGGGTGTCTCCCTTTTAATTCTGGGAAAAACATGTTGAAAGATAACTTCAAATATTGCTCCAGATCGCATGATAACTGACTGCTGTTATCCAGCACGGCTGTGCAGATCGACACGACCAGGCCGTGTTTAATTCTGTTTCGCTCCGCTTTCTGGGCTTTTCTTCTGTAATCAACACGCATGTGTTGTTGAACACTGGGTGACCGTGTAGTCTCTTTTCATGCATTCCTTGACTCCTTCTTGACTCCGAATCGATGCTAAACTCCAGTAATTCCTACACAATATATAAATAGAGCAGTAAACAAGAACTAGGGAGCTTAACAGGGCAAAAGTGCGCGGACATACGTCAAATAACAATGAATCCGTAGGTGAAACATAGTCAAAATATAGATAATAGTCATGTTTATCAACTCCCCCATGCTTGAACTATTGCTTGTCCACAAGCAAAACAGATGGAAACACACACATAAGAGGGTACAGATTCAAAGAAAATAGAAATTAAGCACAAAGGTATCCACTATTCTCAAGTTCACATGCAATATTATTCCACTCAACCCAATGTCAAAATAGAAATCTTGTCTTAAGTTCAAAGTTGAAGAAAATGTATCTGTAGGCGTTCAAGTACAATAGTGCAAGTGACTCAACTCATAAACGTTGGAAAAAGAAATGGCATGACAAAGTTAAAAAATTTTAGTTGATTGCCCAAAACTCCTCGTGACAGACACATATCTCATCACAATGGGTCATACTCTTCCTGCTTAAGGTCTCAAAGGAGCACTCGATTTCCTTGCATTTTATTTATTTATTCAATTTTTTTATTTTTATTTTTGAAAATCCCGTCATAGTTAACACCTACTGACGTGACAGCCATACTTCTGAGGGTGCGGTGCCAGGTACTCGGTGCAACAGACTTTAGGACTTTTTTTTTACAAGGCCGAGTGTTTCTCCAATAACCAAAAAGTAGTCCAAGTCACCAAAGAAGCTTCGGTTTTAATTAGATTGGTTGAGCCAAAATCCATTCCTATCTCTCCAATGTTTAGAGTTAAGTATCGACAAAGTGGAACTCGAACAGATAACATCCTAACCAACTGAACATGAAACAAAGATTTTTTTTTTAACAATGGGGCATGTGAAATAAATGATGCACGTGTTAGAAGAGTTTTCAAACAGTGGTACTCTATTTCTTTTATTTTTTTCTTTTTCTTTTAAAAGCTAAATGAAAAATCCCAACACAGAAAACAAGCACTCAAAAACACGAAAGCATACATGAAACATCATCCCAACAAACCAACTCACTCCCCCATGCTTGAATTGCACATTGTCCCCAATGTGCTTGAGTAATTGAAAGGAGGATAAGAAGGACTCACCGCTCATTGAGGAGGTGGTGGAGGTGGATAACCATGAATTAGGGACCATTGGTGCATATGTTACGTCACCGCTCATTGAGGAGGTGGTGGAGGTGGATAACCATGAATTAGGGACCATTGGTGCATATGTTACGTCAAGTCATTCATTGTTCCAAGTGTATTGCAAAAATTGTCCAAGCGGGTGTCCATGATGAGAACAGATCCGGAAGTTTCAGATGTTGAATGAAAGAATTTGGTCAATGAATATTGGCGTTGCTCTGGGCCTAACGACAAGGACGGTGTCTTAGCACTGGAGGCACGCCTGTCGGTTTGGTGGTGTTGGATGTGATGAATGAGAGAGAGGCGGCAGTGTTGAGTGGTGGAATCAAAGTTGGGGAGGGAAGTGGTTTTGGGGAAGTTGTTAGTCGGTGATTTTGATGGTGAAGGATGAAAGAGGACGGTGGTATGAGGTGGTGAAGGGAAGGGAGGCGGTTGTTTGCTCGAAGAGGTTGGGTGGTCAGTCGGTGGTGGTTTGAAAAGGGGGGGTTTGATGGGTTAGGTCAAAGAAGATGGAAGGATGGGGAGTCTAGAACGAAAAAGAAGGGGGGTGGTAGACTCTGGAAATTTTTTATTCTTTGGCCACGGGTGTGGTGGATGCCTTCCCATGGTGTGGTAGACTCTGGAAATGAGATGAAGACTGTCCCGACTGCTACACGAGTGTGTTGGTGGCCACGGCCTAGCCGTGTCAACTGTGTATTCAATATTTTTCCTTCTGTCCTCTTTAGCCTTGAACTCTCTGTTACCTATTTCCTTTTTTCTTTCTACACACCAGTTCACATGTCATGAAGCTAATAAAACTAATAATTAAAACACTAAAAGGAAAAATAAAGTGAAAGAAAAACTTGGGTTGCCTCCCAAGAAGCGCTCGTTTATGGTCATGAGCTCGACCCCTACAATGCTCACAATGATGATGGATCGGGAAGGGTAAAAGTACCCAACTTCTCGATCGGAGTTCCTGTGAAATAATACTTTAATCGCTGTCCATTGACCTTGAAAGATCCCGTGGCTTCACTCCATACTTCGACAGCCCCAAATGGGTATATCTTGCGCACTTGGAATGGTCCAAACCATCTCGAACAAAGTTTGCCCAGAAAAAGCTTGAGTCGGGAATTAAGTAGAAGTATCAAGTCTCCTTTTGTAAACTCTTTACGGAGGATATGTTGATCATGCCACTTCATTATTCTTTCTTTGTAAATCTTGGCATTCTCATACGCACCCAATCTCAATTCATCAAGTTCATTTGGTTGAAGCTTGCTTTGTTCCACTGCTTCTTTCAAATCTAAATGAATGCTCTTGATAGCCCAATGTGCCTTATGTTCCACTTTAACTGGTGGAGATGGACTGGTTCTAGACTTCTTTTGCTGCTTTTTGACATGACTGTGTCTACAGACACACCATGGCCGTGTGGAATCATTATTCAGCATCTTCCCAGGTGCAATTTTCTCTTCACAAACCTAATCTGGGCTGTTTCTGCTACTTTTTGACATAGCTGTGTTTACATACACAACCTGGTCATTCAGCCCCCTTGCAATTTCGACCACTATATCAGGTTCCTTGCTGTAGGTGGTTTTGGTGTAGTTGGGGCTTTCATCAAGCATTGTAATATAGGAAGTTATTTCCTGATCATCATCATATGGTACCCTATTCTTTACTAAACATTTCTCAAGTGGATCACTTGAGATATTTCTGATAAAATCTTCTCTAACCACCATGTCAATCGTGTCAATCCTGCAACAAGTATCATCAATTAGTGGAAACTTCATTGTAGAAAACAAATCAAAATTCACCTTTTCATCCCCTATATTGAGAGAGAGCTTTCCATTCTTCACATCAATTATCGTACCAGCGGTAGCAAGGAAAGGTCTTCCCAATATAATGGGGATTTGAGAATCCTCCTCAATTTCAAGAATAACAAAATCAACCGGGATGTAGAATTTACCAACCTGGATAGGTACATCCTCTAATATACCTACCGGACGTTTAACCGATCGATCCGCCAATTGGAGGGAGATAGTAGTGGGCTTCAAGTCTCCCATCTGCAACTTGTTACATATAGACAGCACCGAGATCACATAAAGCATGATTAATTGACATATCACCAATTGTGCAAGGGATTGAAAATGAGCCAGGATCTTTAAGCTTAGGTGGTAGCTTATTTTGTATGATGTCACGACACTCTTGGGTCAAGGCTACAGTCTCATATTCCTCTAATCGCCACTTATTTGATAGAATCTCCTTTAAGAATTTGGCATAGGAGGGCATTTGGGAGATGGCTTCAACAAATGGGATATTAATATGCAATTTTTTTAAGATTTCTATGAATTTCCCAAACTGTTTTTCCAACTTAGCTTTAACTTTCCTTTGAGGGAACGGTAGTGGAGGCTTATAAGGTGCAGGTGCAACATATCTCTCAACTTTCTCACTACTGTGCTCTTTCTCACTTGACACTAACTTCTCACTCTCATCAACCACATCCGTATGGTCATTCCTCATCAATGGTCCCTCTAACTCTTTTCCACTCCTAAGTGTGATGGAATTGATAGATCCCTTTGGGTTAGTTTCAGGTTGCCCAGGAAACATACCCAAAGACCTAGAAGAAGAGTTAAATTGCTAGGCTAGTTGAGTGATCTGATTCTCTAACATTTTATTACAGGTGGCTAAAGAGTCAACCTTAGAAGTTAGGTTCTTGATGGCATCGCTCATGATTCTATTCTGATTTCTAAATTCTTCATTTTGTTTATTCTGGAATGACACAAAAGTCTCCATCAAGCTCTCTAAGTTAGACTTTTGGGGACTGGGGTAACTGAGTCTAGGGGCCTAAAAACCTGGAGGTCAAAAATTTGAGTAAGGAATCGGGTTCAGGGGTGGATTTTTATAGGATAAATTAGGATGATTTCTCCACCCCGGGTTGTATGTATTGGAAAAAGGGTCCCCTTTCTGATTAAAATTATTCATATAATTAACATGTTCAGATAATGGTGCATCAGGGGAAGGGGAGTTTCCAATCTGACATTCCACAGCAGAATGTCCAATGATACCACATATTTCACAGTTAGTAGAGTTAGATGCTACTGAATTCATGCTCATCTTGTCAAATTTTTGAAATAAAGCATCTACTCTAGAAGCAATGTGGCCTAATGCATCTACATCATACGTCCCACTCTTTTTGGGTAAAGAGCACTCACCTGACCACTGGAAATGATTCTGTGCCATATCCTCTATGAGTTGTTTTGCATCTCGTACACTTTTGTTCATCAATGCACCACCCGCTGCAGCATCCACGGTCATCCTTGAGTTGTAGAGAAGACCGTTGTAGAAAGTGTGAATTATGAGCCAATCCTCTAACCCGTGATGTGGGCACATCCTTAGAAGATCCTTGTACCTCTCCCATGCATCATACAATGACTCCCCTTCTTTTTGAGTGAAGGTGGTTATCTGATTTCTCAATTGGGCTGTTTTGCTCGGAGGGAAGTACTCAGCAAGGAACGCTTCTGAGAGTTGGTCCCGTGTAGTGATGGAGCCCGGTGGAAGTGATTGCAGCCAAGCCCTTGCATTGTCTCTTAGTGAGAAGGGAAACAACCTTAGCTTGATTGCATCATCCGATACTCCATTCATCTTCAAGGTGTCACAATACTCTAGAAAGATGGAGATGTGGAGGTTTGGGTCTTTGGTTGGAGTGCCTCCAAATTGGTTTTGCTGAACCATGGAGAGGAGTGATGTGGAGGTTTGGGTCTTTGGTTGGAGTGCCTCCAAATTGGTTTTGCTGAACCATGGAGAGGAGTGAGGGCTTGAGTCCGAAATTGTTGGCAGCAACATTAGGCTTCAAGATGCTTGATTGGGAGCTATGGGTGGTTGGTGATGCAAACTCCTTCAAGGATCGGTCTTGATTGCCTTGGTTTTCTTGGTCTCCCATGGTGTTTTTGCTTTTCAAATTATCCTTTGTTTCTCGTGCCTTCCTTCTAATATGACGCAAGGTCCTTTCAATCTCGGGATCACACTCGATTGGTTCTCCAAGTCGTAAGGATCTGGGCATACAAGGGTGCCTGCACTAAAAAAAAGGAACAAGTCAAACGAAAAGAAAAAAAAATAAAAATAGAATAAATGAAAGAAAATGTCTAGTCTAGTCAAACAATGAAAAAGTCAATATTAACAATGCCGAAGTCCCTGGCAACGGCGCCAAAAACTTGTTCACTCAAATCCGCAAGTGCACGGATATCGCTGTAGCGATGCAAGGTCGTATCCTCAGGGACTTCGTTGTTAATTACTGATTTTCACTGTTTTATGACTATCTAAACCAATCGTGTTAAAAAGTATGATTTTTTTGACTATTAATAACGAACACGCTAGCTAGTATCAACGACGAATTCACTCAAATAAAAGGATCTAGGATTGAACTTCGATTTCAACTCTGGTTTGAATCAACAAATTAATCAATTGTTATCGAATCTCTCAATGCATTAAGAACGACTAACCTATGATAACTATTAGTCTCTTTCGACGACTAAAAGTCATGCCTAATTCAGCCTAACAACCTATTTTCATTGTGTTAAACCAAATTAAACCCATTAAGTTCTTGTTAATCCCTCATGTTCCCAAGAATAATTAACCTACTTTCGTGATCAATTAATTCTTGTTCAATTATTATTTTCTGGAGTCAATCTAACCTTTCAGTTCAAATCAACATCCTAAAAGAATTAAATTAGTGGCCAATTGAATTAACCCTAGGCAATTAGATACTAGTAACTGAATAATGCAAATCGAACAATCAATAACAACAATCAGTTCATTGATTCATAACCATGGCCGAACCTAGTTCCATCCCAGATAAGACAATTACTCACACATAATTGAAATAGAAAACATGATAACAATATATAAGATCATAATCATAAACTAGAAATTGAGATAGATCAGAAAGATAAACCGTAGTGTTGAAGTTGCACTAAACTAGAAATTGAGATAGATCAGAAAGATAAACCGTAGTGTTGAAGTTGCACACAATTCTCCACAAACTACAGATTCCAAATCAAAAGAAAACCTAATCTAAGGGTTTTTAGAGAGAAGAAGAGAAGAAGAAGAAGAAGGAAAAATCAAGATCTCCAGCCTCTGGTCTCTTTTCAGATGCTTCAGGGTGTCTCCCTTTTAATTCTGGGAAAAACGTGTTGAAAGATAACTTCAAATATTGCTCCAGATCGCATGATAACTGACTGCTGTTATCTAGCACGGCTGTGCAGATCGACACGACCAGGCCATGTTTAATTCTGTTTCGCTCCGCTAAACTCCAGTAATTCCTACACAATATATAAATAGAGCAGTAAACAAGAACTAGGGAGCTTAACAGGGCAAAAGTGCAAGGACATACATCAAATAACAATGAATCCGTAGGTGAAACATAGTCAAAATATAGATAATATTCATGTTTATCATTCGACGTACTAAATCTTATGTTGTGAGTTTCTAAATATTAATCTCCACTTAGAACTTTATGTTAGACCCTAGAGGGGGGGTGATTAGGGTCTTATGCTAATCTAATCCGATTTAAATGCCAATTAAAATATATTAATAAGTTATCCTAGCAAGTGTGAAATACAATAATATATATTAGCTAGGATAAGAAAGATAAACAATAAGATATATCCTATATGATAGAGATATATGTATATATGCCAGGATATATAAACAACACAAGGGTAAAATAAACAATCTACACAAGTGATAGGGTAATATGATGAGCAATACACAAAGGCGATATAAGATATGAAAACAAGAATAAGAACGGCAATGCAATCACAAACACATGATATGATCACGGAGTTCGGACCTTCCGTCCTACGTCTCCGCTCCCCACTCCCGGGGAGAATTCCACTATCACAACCGGGTTTTCTACGTTCACCCGAACAACGTTTACACCTCACAATACAATCACTATGTAATCACACCTCACACACTAAGTGTTGGTCCTAGCCCGTGTCCTCCTCCTCAAGTGCTCGGTTACAACCTCTCCCTAGGCACGTCAACCGACGCCACTCCTCTTGGATTCGACCCCGTCTCTCACCACACACTTCTCTCGGTGTACAAGTGTATTACAAGTGAATCCTCACAATAAGCACAATATAAATCAAATGATTTGTTCTCTAAACAAGGTGAGAACTCAATTAAGCACAACTCTAAGTCACTAATCTCACAACCCAAAATTATACTATGAATGTAAATACAATAAGCTCAATAGGTTGTGTGTGAACAGAGAGTATCAATAAAACAATTTAAACTCAATATAGAAATCTAGCTTATGGAAATTAAGATCAAAACAATAAATAGCTAGAATTGAGTTTAAGGAAAACTTCTCTATAGATCAAGAGTGAGAGAGAGATGAGTTGAATGCCCAAACACCAAAGGATGATCTCCTCTTTGCTCTTGTGAAATTTGCTTCACAAACTAAACTCAAACAAACTCTTAAACTCTTTTAAACAAAACTTAAACCCTTGATTAAAAACTTTCTTAAACTTGTTTTAAAACTCTCTTAGATGGCTTGAAAGAAAACAGCAATAGGGTATTTATACCCACTCAAAATCTCAGCCAAAACCTTCAAGCAAAAGTCCAAAAAGCCCAGAAAAAAAATCAGCTCAGAAAATAGCCGTTGGGAAAGAAACGGTCACATTGGCAGAGCGGCGGTCGAACGGAAATTCTCGCGGTCGACCGTGATCCAGTTTCCAAACGGAGAAAACGAACAGAGAGTTCGTCGGTCGACCGGGAGAATTTCCGGTCGACCGCCGGTACTGTAGCAGGTATATCCAGTTTTATAAAATCAGTTAAAAATAGTAAAAAAGATCCAAAAATTATTAACTTTTGTGGGAAGGTTCTAGACATGTAGATTGACATGTTAGAGAAAGAATTTCTGAAAAATCATTTC